CACACACACACACACACACACTCTCTCTCATTGCTGCACCTGAGCATCACATGACCTTTGACCCTGTGTGTTCAGACGGACATTGAGATCAGTAAGGAGGAAGACTTCGCCAGGATCCTGCAGATGGAGGAGGAGTACATCCAGCAGATCTGTGAGGACATCATCCGCCTCAAGCCAGACCTGATCTTCACCGAGAAGGGAATCTCAGGTGTGTGTCACGCCCCTCCCGTCTCACGCCTCTCTCTGACATCATCGCCCACTCGTTAGAAAACACCAACATGTGTGTGGAGCAGACCAGTGACTGAGCGCAGGTCATGTGACCTGTGACCTCATCAGCTCACACGTCCTCGTAGCGATGGCGCTTTGTGTTACACTTCCGGCTTCCATCATCGGATGTTTCTGTTACTCATTGTTCATCCACGTTGCAATGCATGATGGTTGTTTACTCACATTATCGAAGTGTCTCTGATGCATCATGGGAGTTTGTAGTCTGAGATCAGGACAGGAAGTGCCATCAGACAAACGCTGTGTTAATGAGACGTGTGTTTGCAGACTTGGCTCAGCACTACCTGGTGAAGGCGAACATCACCGCCATCCGCCGCGTCAGGAAGACCGACAACAACCGCATCGCCAGGTGACCTCAAACTCCAGCCAATCAACATTCAGCAGGATATGATGTCACACTGTCAGCCCTGGTTCAACCACTCAGTGTCATACCTGCAACTTTAATCTCTCTCTCTCTCTCAGGGCGTGCGGGGCTCGTATAGCCAGTCGGACAGACGAGCTGCGTGAGGAGGATGTGGGTTTGGGGGCGGGGCTGTTTGAGGTGAAGAAGATCGGTGATGAGTATTTCACCTTCGTCACCGAGTGTAAAGATCCTAAAGCGTGTACCATCCTGCTGCGAGGAGCCAGCAAAGAGATCCTGGCTGTAAGAACGCGTTCTCATTAGAACTCATCAGACGAAGGGCGGAGCCTGTAAACGTGTCACAGCTCATGTTCTTTTCTCTCTGACCTCCAGGAAGTGGAGAGGAACCTGCAGGACGCCATGCAGGTGTGTCGTAACGTGCTGCTGGACCCCTTCCTGTTGCCAGGTGGCGGGGCTGTGGAGATGGCGATTTCGAAGCGCCTGACGGAGCGCTCCCGTGCTCTGACTGGCATTGAACAGTGGCCATACCGTGCTGTGGCTCTAGCTCTGGAGGTCATCCCCCGAACCCTGATCCAGAACTGTGGAGCGTCCACCATACGAGTGCTGACCTCGCTGAGGGTACGGCAAAACTTTATTTATAACATTAGGATACAGAACTTTATTGACACTATTTAACTTGTGTTTTATCGATCATGTGTCTCGTGTTCAGGCCAAACACACTCAGGACAACAGTGTGAGTTGGGGTGTGGACGGAGAGACCGGCTGTCTGTCTGACATGACGTCTCTGGGCATCTGGGAGCCGCTCGCAGTGAAAGCTCAGACTTACAAGACCGCCGTGGAGGTCAGGACGAACCAGTGATACCGTTCAATACTGATACCGATCGATCCCGAGCGAGACTCCTGACTGTTGTTGTGTTTTTCAGACGGCCATCTTGTTGCTGCGCATCGACGACATCGTCTCTGGTCACAAGAAGAAAGACAAAGATGATCAGATGGGAGGACCAGGAGCCGAGTGATCCACATCAGTCCACATCAGTCCAGATCCACATCACTCCGTGTGTCTGTCTGTCTGTCTCTGTCTGTCTGTGTGCGTGCGTGTGTGTGTGTGGGAACCAGGCGACTCATCAAACATAATAAAAACGTGAAAAAGTGATAAAGTTAGAACCACTTCCTGTTCTCCTGTTTTCACCTGGATCCAAACGTCAGTTCTGTTTCTGTCAAAGTTCATTTCTGAGACGTTGTTTTTTGAACTTTGGTCCAATAATGAAAATCTGAATAAGTTATTCTGTGACTGGGCAGTTTTTTTTTTTCATCACACACATTTTGATCTTCATCTCAGATCTCTCTCTCTTATTGAACAAAAGATGTTTTACTTTGAAAAGTTTGAATGAACATGAAAAATAAATAAAGTTGATTTGGTTTAAACAGAAAAAGACAAAACACCATGAAATAAATTCTGAAATTAAACGTGCGATCAAAGAAAAAGCATTGTCACAGGTGTCTGATCAACAAACCAACTCCATCCCATAATTCAATTCACAGAGCAAAGATGTTTTTGTCTTAAAAAGAAAATTAAAAAAAACTTGTTAACATTTGTTAAAATAAAAATCGTGTTTTCTATTTTTTACATCAGGTTCAGTTCAAACTCACCGATCGTTCAGATTCCTTTCAGAACATTTAGTCAATTTATATCATCAGGTACTTAAAGGTCCAAAGATCCAGGTGAAAGGATCCACTGTCAGAAAAGTAACGTCGAAGAATCCTCATGTTTTCATGAGTTTGTTTCATCTAAATTATATGAATTGTAGTTTTCTTTACCCCAGAAAAGGCCCTTTGAACTATGAACTGGCTGAGGTCCATGGCCCCCCACCATGTCTCTGAAACATCAGTAA